AGTCGAGGCGACTCCTGTAGGCTTTTTCTCGGAAACGTCTATGTGTCTGGGCCCTTGTTTCCTATCTTTTCTTGCCGAGTCCCTCGGTCAAGGCGAACCATTAGGCTTTTTCTATCTCAGAAACAGTTTAGGGTCAGTGCCCCGTCGTTTCTTTCAATACTCGCCGAGTCCCTCAGTCGAGGCGACTCCTGTAGGCTTTTTCTCGGAAACGTCTAAGGGTCTGGGCCCTTGTTTCCTATCTTTCTTACCGAGTCCCTCGGTCGAGGCGACCCATTAGGCTTTTTCTATCTCAGAAACAGTTTAGGGTCAGTGCCCCGTCGTTTCTCTCAATACTCGCCGAGTCCCTCAGTCGAGGCGACTCCTGTAGGCTTTTTCTCGAAAACGTCTAAGGGTCTGGGCCCTTGTTTCCTATCTTTTCTTGCCGAGTCCCTCGGTCGAGGCGACCCGTTAGGCTTTTTCTATCTCAGAAACAGTTTAGGATCAATGCCCCGTCGTTTCTTTCAATACTCGCCGAGTCCCTGGGGCGATTTGCGGTAACCCATGTGCTTTATTTAGATTTTTGGAATCCTCGAGCCCGTACACGGCCTATCCTTTTCTACTGATAGAACCTTTTCAAATGAGTGACATTCCATATGCGATCTATGGGCTTGCCTTCCATAGTCTCCAACTTATAGGTTCCGGCTTGGACCACCACTGCAATACGGTATGGCCCCTCCCTCTTAACCGCAAACTTGCCCCCTTCGGTGGGCTGACTGGCTTGTCGATCGCGTAACACGAGGTCGCCAACCTGGAAGGTTCGCGGGCGAGTCCTCTGGTCGCGATATCTTTTCACCGCCTGCTGGTACTCAACCATCCGTGCACTCGCGGCTTCTCTCCTTTCTTCTAGGAAATTTGTCTCGATCCGCAGATTCTCTTCGTTCGCTGCATCCGAATAGGTGCGAACCCGGTGGGTGGGCTCGACTACTTCGACTGGAACCTTGGCCTCGAAGCCGTATGCGAGCGAGAACGGGCTCTCCCCCGTCGCTCGCCGCTGGGTAGTGCGATAAGCCCATAGGACTCGGTCAAGCTCGTCCGCCCAACTTCCTCGGATGTCTTCGAGCTTCTTCCAGATCCCATCGACCAACGTTCGATTCACATTCTCGACCTGCCCATTGGCTTGTGGGTACGCCACCGATACCTTGGTATGCTTGATATCGTGTCGGCGGCAGAAGTCGGCGAAGGCCTGGCAGTCAAACTGTCGCCCGTTGTCGCTGACGATGTGCTCGGGCAGGCCGAAGCGACATATCACCCTTTTCCCCAGAAAACGTCGACATTGGTACTCAGTGATGGTAGCCAATGGTTCTGCCTCGACCCATTTGGTGAAATAGTCGATAGCCACAACGCAAAACTTCAGACCTCCCGGGCGACGGGCAATGGCCCCAACAAGTCTATTCCCCACTTGGCGAAGGGGATGGCAGTGGCGACCGGTGTATAAAAGGTGGCCGCGGGTGTCTTTCCTGGCGAATGCTTGACAAACGCCGCACCTGGACATCCATTCGATGCAGTCTCGCATCATGGTCGGCCAATAATACCCTTGAACGACTAACTTCCGGGCGAGCGTGTGGGCGCCCTGGTGCGCAGCACAAATGCCTCTATGAGCTTCGTCCATTATTTTCTCGGCCTCGGGTCTAAGCAGGCACTTTAGTAAGGGTCCTCCGAACGACTGTTTGTATAGCTGTCCGTCGATGATCTGGAAGGAAGGGGCTTTCCGCCGAACTCTCGCGGCGACTCCCGGGTCTTCCGGTAACTCGCCTTTTTCTATGAATCGCCGGATATCCTCTATCCAGAACATTTCGGGATTTTTCCCTCGATCCCATTCCTCGATATCTACTCGCTGGACTTCCAGTGGTGCCTCTTCAACACTCGGCTGATTTAGCTCCTCCTTCTGGCAAATTTTTATCAGGTGGTCCGGTACCCCTTCCAGGGCAATTTTGGACAATAGGTCGGCTTCCATGTTGTCCGCTCGGGGTATGTACTCTATCTCGTAAGCCCCGAACCCTTTTAACATCTCGACCGCATGCTTTTTGTATAGTACCATCCTTGCATTCTTAGTTTCACACGTACCCGAGAACTGTCCGACTACCAGTCTGGAGTCAGTCTTGATTCGCAGCCGCTCGACTCCCAGGGCCTTGGCGAGTCGGAGACAGTTTAATACCGCTTCGTACTCGGCCTCATTATTTGATGTCGAGAACAAGTATCTCAGAGCGTAATATAGCCGGAATCCTTCCGGAGTGATGAGCATGACACCGCCTCCACAGTGCTGTCGACTCGATGCACTGTCCACGTGCATTTCCCACCACTCGCCTGGGCAGCTCTCCGAGGCGTGTTCCTTTTCTTCCTCACTTGCCGTGCATTCGACCAGGAAGTCGGCCAAGGCTTGACCCTTAATGGAAGGCTGGGGTTGGTACTCAATCCCATACTGAGTCAACTCTACGGCCCATTTTACAAGTCGACCGGAGGACAAGGGGTTTCTTAGCACGCTTCGAGCGGCTGGTTTGTCAAAACTCGAACGGTATGGGCTTGGAAATAGGGTGCCAGCTTGCGCACGGTGACTACCAACGCATACACAATCTTTTCCAGAACGGTGTACCGCGTCTCAGCGGCCTTCAGCGAGCGACTTACGTAATAAACGGGGTGCTGGACTCGGTCCTCCTCTCGGACCAACACCGAACTCACTGCTTTGGCTGAGGCGGCGAGGTACAAGAATAAGGGCTCGCCCACCTGGGGGGTAGACAGCACTGGGGGCGTTGAGAGGTACTGTTTCAACTCCTCGAACGATTGTTGGCATTCGGCAGTCCAAGCGAATCCCTCTTTCTTCTTCATGGCTTCGAAGAAAGGCACGGTCTTATCCGCCGCTTTGCTCAAGAAGCGGCTAAGGGCGGCCAATCGGCCATTCAACCGTTGTAGGTCCCTAACGGTTGTAGGAGGCTGCATGTCGATGATGGCCTGTACTTTCTCCGGATTAGGCTCGATGCCTCGTTTGGTGACCATGTAGCCCAAGAATTTGCCACCTTGGACGGCGAACGCGCACTTTTTGGGGTTCAGTCGAAGGTTGTATTTCATCATTACCTTAAAGCAGTCGGCCAGGTCCTCCGCATGCTTGTCCTCTTCCCGGCTCTTGACGAGCATATCATCGACATACGCAGCCATCGATTTCCCAAGCAGGTGTTGGAACAACCGGGCGACCATTCGGGTGTACGTAGCCCCGACATTTTTAAGTCCGAAGGGCATGACTCGGTAACAGTAAACTCCGTCCGGTGTCAGGAAGGCGGTCTTCTCCTCATCCGCCGGGTGCATAAATATTTGGTGGTACCCTCTGAAGGCGTCCATGAAACTCAGTAGCGCCGACCCGGCCGTTTCGTCGACTAACTGGTCAATCCGAGGTAGGGGAAACGGGTCTTTCGGACAAGCCTTATTAAGATCGGTGTAATCCACGCACATTCGCCACGTCGGGGCTTGGGTACGAGGACCACATTTGCCAACCACTCCGGGTACTTAACCTCGCAGACGTGCCCGGCCGCTAGTAGCGTGCCAACTTCCTTCTTCACAAATTCCCTCCGGTCGTTGGCCAGGTATCGTTTCTTCTGTACGACCGGTCGGTGCTCCGGATCCACGGCGAGTCTGTGCGATATGATTGATCGGTCGAGGCCAGGCATGTCCTCGGGGCCCCAGGCGAAAACCGTCCGGTGCTCCCGGAGCACCTTCACAATTTCTTTTTTCAATGTCTCAGAGAGGCCGACTCCAATTCGGACCCGTCGGTCCGGTTGCGTAGAGTCGATCTTGACTTCCTCCAACTGGACAGCAGGCTCTGGGCGAGGTAGTATCGTCTTCTTCGGGGGCCTCTCAGTGATCTCATGGATCTGCATCTCGCGTTTGCCCATCCCTCTGCATGCCTACAGATAGCAGTCGCGGGCGACCTTTCGGTCACAGCGCACCGTACCTACTCCATTTGGTGTGCGGAATTTCAGGCAGAGATGCTCAATTGAGATCAAAGCCCCTAAATCCTCAAGACCCGGTCGGCCGAGTATAGCGTTATGCGAGCAGGCCAGGTTTACCACAATAAATTTCATGCTAAGTCTCTGTACGTCCGGGTACGTCCCAATCTCAACTGGAAGTGTGATTGACCCCTCCGCCTCCACCGAGTCCCCTGTGAAGCCGGCGAGGGGAGTTTTGATGGGGTTCAGCTGTTCTCGGGTCAGCCCCATTTTGGTGAAGGTTTCTAGATATAGCACGTTGACGCTGCTCCCGGTGTCCACCAGGATTCGCCGAACGACGATGCCGTTGACGTCCATGGCTATAACCAACGCATCTCGATGCGGTATTTCTTCGGCTAGTAAGTCTCTGTCGGTGAACACGATGGGCTCTCGACACACCTTTTTAGAGTTCTCCTCACGCCCGAACACTGTCCCGACGTACAACTGCCGAGCCCAAGCTTTTCTGGTGTTCGCTGAATCACCACCTTCCGGCCCGCCGACTATCATGTTGATAACCGGTTTCTGGCGCCACTGAGCCTCCTCCTCTTCGGGAACCGGCTGCTTGCCTCGACTGCTTTCGGCAACGGCGACGGGTTCCTCATCCCCTCGACTGCCCGGCCTCCGCCTCCATTGGTTAGGAGGCGGGGTTCCTTGCTGGATGATACCCTCCATGATCTTCTTCAGGTAGAAGCACTCCTCCGTACTGTGAGTATAAGATTTATGATAACGACAATACTTAGAGTTCTTACCCATCTCTTCGTTTGTCGCGCGATCGTCGGTCGGCGGAGGCGGAGGCGGGGCAACCGCTTGTACCTCGTGGGCCGGACGCTCGGGAATCGGCCGATAGGCGTGGACCACTGGTCGGTCGTACGGCCGTCTAACTTCGGGTCGCCGAGCCACGTCCGGGCGCCTTTCTTTGGCTTCCGCTCGCGTTCTCTTTCCGCTGGCGGATCCGCCGACTTCGCGCTGTCGCTTGTACTTCATAGCCTACTCCGTATTGGCCCTCTTGTTGGCCATATGAATGGCTTCTGCGTAGGTGGCCGGACGATTGTCCCTCAAGTTTCGGTACAGCTGGCCGGACCGCAGCGACTCGATGAAGAAGGTGAGTGCCGTCTGGTCCTCGACCTCCTCTATGGATTGGATTTCTCTCTGCCAGCGGGCCAGATAGGTTTTCAAAGATTCGCCTTCGTCTTGACGGATGTCACCCAAGTGAGTTAGGTCCTTTTGTGGCTTGATATTAGCGGCGTAATGGCTCATGAAGCGGTCTGCCAGCTCTTCAAAGTTGTGAATCGACCCTGAGGGCTGCGCCACCAGCCACCTTTGTGCCGACCCCTTCAACGTGGGTAAGAAAGCGCGACACATGACCGGATCTCGTACCCCCAAAACCTGCATCTTAGCCTGATAGCTCAACAAATGCTCACGGGGATCGCCGGTTCCATCGAACGTGGCTTGTTCCGGGAACTTGAAGTCACTCGGTATCTTAAAAGCCATAACCTCGTCTGAGAATGGTAAGGCGGTCAGTAACGTACGTCCTGGGGATTTGGCTTTTCCCTCCATCCGTTCTTTCAGATTTCGCACCTCCTGTACTAAGTTTGCCACTTCGACCCTCTCCCGGGTGCGATTTCCCGTGGATTCCGTGCTCTCGCCGACTTCAGACTCAGCCGGTTGGACGGGGTTGCTCCACGTGACGAATCTCAGTCCTGGCTCTTTTGGTTCGGCTTTTCTCTCGTGCAGCTTGTCGATCGCGGGCGGCTAGTGGGGCACGACCGGGCTCCTTCCGGCCTAATCGTTCTCTTGCCGACCGACGCCCAACGCTGGGACCCAGCCGGGAATGAACGGATTGTACCTGTTGGCTTTCAGCCCGTCGGCTCAATTGCCGGTTGTCGGGCCTCTGAGGTGGTTGCAACTCGCGTTGCGGCTGGCGGGTGACGGACTGTTCTCTCACTCCTAGGCTTGCTTCGGCGCAGGCGCGTCCGATTGCGCGTAACTGCTCCGGGGTGAGCAGCACCTGAGGCAATTGCCGGTTTATCTGCGGCGTCGGCGGCGGTGTCGTCTCGTTTTCTTGGCTCCGAGCGCTTCTCCGATTCAGCTGGCTTCTCAGGTCGGCCTCCCGTCCGTTGTCATGACGGCTCGACTGTTCCTCGCTTCCTGCCATGTCTGGAGTTTTCCTAATTCGACTGAGGTTCTAACTGTCGTTCCTCGGACTCGCCTCACTCAAGAGGATACGTGACTCTTCGTTTCGATCCCCACAGACGGTGCCAGTGATGGTTTTAGGGTTTTCGGGCCCAAGGAGGTCCAACACAACCTTTGGTCGGAGGATACACCTCTCAATAAAATGTACGTCTAACTCAGAGGTAATGCTAGTGCTCGGAATTTCTTTGTTATTTTTCCCCTCTCCCGGTGTCCGAAAATGTCTACCTTTTACAAGAATGGAGGAGCCTTTATATAGTGGCTCCTCCTCTGCCGACTTGAAGGCCCTTAATGGCCGACTTCAAGGCTAATCAAGATATGGAGCCGTTGGACGCCATTACTCGGTCGACCAACGGCTCTCCTAGGCTTGTAACAGCCCGACCGGGTCCTGCCTTTAATGCTTCAACAGCTCTCTTTTAAAGGAACCCCTTTAATGCCCTCAACGGCTCCTCGAGCCGAGTCTTTTCCTGGGCTTGGGCCTCGGTCGACTCCTGGACTCGGCCCGATTGCTCTTTGGGCTCCTCTCGACGCTGGCCCACTTCTATTTTCTTTGGGCCCCTATCTCTTGGGCCGGGGTCCTTACCCCATCAGGTTCCATCTTAGTTGTCTTTTGCTTAAAGGTAGGATCTTTATGATCTTTTGGTTTGATCTTGAAGTGGGTTTGGAAAGTAAGCCTTGTAAGGAGCTTGTTGAGCAGTAAAGTGAAGTCTTTTGGTCTACAAGAGGTAACCCATGCTCTACAAAACCTATTTTGCTTACCTATATCTGATTTCTTGGATTCTACTTGTGCTTTGCAATTAAGTATGAGTGTTTATGCATTTGTCTTGTGAAAATGCATATCTAAAGCTTGTGTTTAGGGTTCCTTTGTGCCATTACTTGGCATTTTCCATGATTCAAGTCATTTTGTTGTGTTGGGTGAGATTTGGCATGTTTTGGACTTGAATTTGTGTTTGGAGATGAAAATCCCCAAAGGGATGGTTTTGGTACAAGACGTGTACCCGCGGGCGGAACGACGGGCGGGGCACCACCCGTCGCCCCACCCGCAGGTACAGGACCTCGTGGGAGATGTTCACGCTGGCGGAACCACGGGGGGGGGGGGGTGCACCACCCGTGGGTCCACCCGCAGGGAACATGTTGAGATGAGTGGGGGGTTTGTTCCCCCTTGATTCTTTTGACTCGGTATTTGGTCTTTTGACTTCCCGATGTTCTTTTGTGGAACTATTTGAGTGTCTTCTTGATGTTTCGTATGTCTAGAACTATATGGTAGGAAGCCATGTAAGTATTTGGTGTCTTGAATCGTGCTAAGTTTTCAACATTGTGTTTCGTTGGACCGTGAGGTGTCTTGTGTGTTCCTCGGAACTATCTTTGGTTTCCTCGTTGATATGCATGCTAGTTCGGTGTCTAAATGCTAGCGTGTGAGTTGTTTGTACCTTCCGATTGGTTGATGATAACTTGTGTTATTCATCGTTGTTGTTGTTGGGCTGTGACCCATTCCTTGATTGAGTATGTTTCATACCTTCATTGTGATCCATTGATTGACTCTTGTTGAGGTGAGGTGTGTGTGGCTTTACCTGGATTGCACGATTAGTGGTATGGGACACAAGTCACCAAGGTATTGCAGCGGTCCTCGTGGTGGCCGTGACGTGAATATGGAGTTGTGACCTGTGTGTCAGGTTCACGTATTTTCTTGGGAAGGCGTGTGTCGCCGTGTGTGTGTGTACGGTACCCTCATGTATTATGAAATTCGTGATCTTGTTGGTGGTTTGTTGGTGGGGGACGACGGTCCCAGGAGGGAAAAGGTTGGACTAAGAAGTACTGGGGTCCTGGAGATAATGGTTGGAAAGAAGATACAAGGTTGGGGGTAGCCATAAGGTTGGAACAGCGCATAAGGCAGGCATACAAACTCGTGATGGGTGATGTCGCGAGGGCTATTGTAGCCAGTGTTGTGTGATCTTATCTTGTGACGTGTGTGGTCAGAAAGGCAGTTGTGGCTTTGGCATGTATTGCCGGTTGAGCGTGTCTTGTTCTTTCGCGTTGTACTTGTCGGGTTGCGGTCTATTGGGTGATGATAGATTGTGCCTTGACTCTTTTGTGAGTCATGTGGTGTTTGTTGTCTTGAGATGTGTTCCCGTGTTGCTTGTGAGAGTGTTGAGTCTTGTGTTGACTACTTCTCTCGATTTTGAACTTATATATATATATATATATATATATATATATATATATATATATATATATATATATATGTATTCCGTCTCGAAAATGACTTTTGTATATATACCATATCTTTGTATGATACTTAATGGTATTGGTGGGTAACCAGCATTATTCGCTGACCGGACGTCATCCCATGTTTATCTTTGTGTTTCTACAGGTGATGTCTAGTCGAGCGCGATGTCTAGTGCCGATAGAATAGTACCTGTCCCTTGTTGAACGGCCTGTGAGCCGGTTTGGGTTGTTTTTAGACTTATGTATTCTTGGATAGATGTTGATGTAACACCCCAGATTTTCAAGACTTTTAAAACTTATATAATAAAGGTAGAATCTCATTAAATCCCAAAATACGATACAAAGAGTACGGGGTGCTATGCCACACCCGAGCTAGAGAACTCAGGTGCACAGGCTAAATTCTAAAACCTCAATCAGTATCAATACAAAATCACGGCACGCAGGCCAACAGGGAAAGCTATCTAAACTACGCCCCAAGCTTCTAGCGCGCTCCAGTGATCTACTCGTCTGTGCCTGAAAGCCAAATATATCTGTTCAGCGAGATATGCTGGTAACCCACTCCAACGCGTTGAAAAATAATACATATGGAATTCCTTGGACTCGAAATTGTGCATTCTCGGGGCTTTCCCGAAGCGATTCCTTCTTCACAGTCACGTTCCAGTGGGGCTTTGGCAGGAGGTCGACCACCCACCACGTGCCCACTGCCACGTTCCAGTGGGGACTTGACAGGCTGTCGACCGCCCACCTCGCGCCCACTGGTACGGTATATTTTCTTGACATCTCGTTTTATTGATCGATTGTGCCTTTGTGTGTGACACCACAAAAATCCACATTCAATCCATGGATTAATTGAGACATTAATCCTATTGCAATTGAGGAATTCATTCCTAAAATCCTGATTTTTAATAATCAAGGACTAGTATTTGACTAGTCAACTTCAAAGTTATGTTGTACCTTGAGCTTTGAGGGGAGTTCCCTTGTTCCTTACACTTTCTAAATGTTAGTAAGGGTATTCTTGACTTTTCACCAAGTGATAGTATTGTAACCTAACCTAGAAGACATCTTCATTTCATCCTTTACACTTTCTAAAATATTAGCTCTACCTTCTCTCTAGAAAGGTGAGTAGCTTTTCCTCCAAGCTAAGTTGAGACCTTGTCAAGATTCCAAGATTTGCTTCCAAGATTCAAGCTTTCACCTATTTAAGCATCTAGGAGGGTAAGCTCTAAGTCCATCTTGTGTTTTTGGTTCTATCTTAGATGTCTTTTTTCTTAAAGGTAAGATCTTTATGATCTTTTGGTTTGATCTTGAAGTGGGTTTGGAAATTAAGCTTTGTGGGGAGCTTGTTGATGTGTTAAGTGAAGTCTTTTAGTATACAAGAGGTAACCCACGCTCTACAAAATCTATTTTGCTTACCTATATGTGATTTCTTGGATTCTACTTGTGCTTTTGCTATGAAATGTGAGTCTTTATGCATTTGTCTTGTGAAAATGCATATCTAGAGCTTGTGTTTATGGTTCTTGTGTGCCATTGCTTGCCATTTTCCATGATTCAAGTCATTTTGTTGTATTGGGTGAGATTTGGCATGTTTTGGACTTGAATTTGTGTTTGGAGATGAAAATCCGCGAAGTGGTGTTTTGTAGTACAGGACATGTTCCCGCGGGCAGAACGGCGGGCGGGGCACCACCCGTCGCCCTACCCGTGGGTACAAGCCTTGTGGGAATGTGTTCCCGCGGGCGGAACCACGGGTGGGGCACTATGCGTGGGTCCACCCGCGGGAACATAAGTGGAGTTGTGTTGGGATTTGTTCCCCGTGATTCATTTGACTCGGTATTTGGTATTTTGACTTCCCGTTTTTCTTTTGTGGAACTATTTGAGCGTCTTCTTGATGTTTCGTATGTCTAGAACTATATGATAGGTATCCGTGTAGGTATTTGGTGTCTTGAATCGTGCTAAGTGTTCAACATTGTGTTTCGTTGAACCGTGAAGTGTCTTGTGTGTTCCTCGGAACTAACTTGAGTTTCTCCGTTGATAAGGATGCTAGTTTGGTATCTAAATGCTAGCGTGTGTGTTGTTTGTACCTTCCAATTGGTTGATGATAACTTGCGTTATTCATCGTTGTTGTTATTGGGTTGTGACCCATTCCTTGGTTGAGTATGTTTCATACCTTCGTTGTGATCTGTTGATTGATTCTTGTTGTGGTGTGATGGGTGTGTGGCTTTACCTGGATAGAACGATTAGTGGTATGGGACACTAGTCACCAAGGTATTGCAGCGGTCCTCGTGGTGGCCGTGACGTGATTATGGAGCTGTGGTCTTTGTGTAAGGTTCACGTGATTCTTGGGAGGCATGTGTTGCCATGTATGTGTACGATACCTCGTGTACTTTGAAATCGGTGGCTTTGTTGGAGGACTGTTGGAGGGGGAATGACGATTCCCGGGGGAATAATGTTGGAATTGGAGTACAGGGGTCCTGGAGGTAAAGGTTGGAACTAGATATAAGGTTTGGGGTAGCCATAAGGTTGGAACCGGTCATAAGGATGGCATTTAAGCTCGTGATGTGTGATGTCACGAGGGCTTGTGTACCCGTGGTTGTTTGTTCTCTCTTGTGACGTGTGTAGTCACAAAGGCATGTGTTGCCGTGTGTTGTATCTTTATCCTTGTCGTGTTGTTCTTGTGGTCTTGGGATGTGTTCCCGTGTTGATTGTGAGAGTGTGGAGTCTTATGTCGGCTTTTACTCTTGGCTTTACACTTATATATATATATTCCATTTAGAAATGATTTTGTATATATACCCTACCTATGTATGATACATAACAGGTATTGGTGGGTTACCAGCATTATCGCTGACCGGGCGTCGTCCCATGTTTATATCTGTGTTCTTTCAGGTGATGTCTAGACGAGCGCGACGTTTAGTGGCCGGTAGTCTAGTACCTTTATCCTTGCTTTATGGCATGTGTGTCGATGTAGCGTTAGTTTGTTGACTTTGGGATAGATGTGTACACATTGCAGATTTGACCGACGTAGCGTTTACCATTGTTGGTAGACGTGGCATAACACCCTATTTGGATTTGTTTTATCCAGTTATCCTTTTATCTTCCGCTGTGCTAGTATTTCGTGTGTGATCTGCATGTGTTAAGGCATTTTTATTTATAACATGTTTGGGGGGGTGTTACAGTTGGTATCTGAGCCTAGGTTTGAGCCTAGGAAGAGTTAAGTCTAGACTTTCTAAGTGGTTAAGTGTGCTTTGAGACCCTTAAGCGACCTTAAGAATCTAAGTGTTAGGCTTAGGACTCTAGGATGCGCGGTGAGGTTGTGAGTTCTTGTGTCGTTTTCTGTTGTGTTATCTGTGCTTTGTTTCCTTTTAGCTTTGGTTCTCTTTAGTTAAAGCACCAGGTAAGGGTGCGGTCCCTAAGTTTCCTCCCGTATCGTGCTGTTGCTGTAGAAGTCGACGATGGCACCATCGAGACATCGTGCAAGGTTTTCAGAAGCAGCCACCAAAGAAGAGTTAGCTCTAAGCCTCCATCAACTGACGCAGATCACCCAGACACTGAGCAACGCCCTCCTCAACAATCGCCCTCTTCAGAATGAGAGTCGGGACTTAGTACGTCAAGTCGCAAGTTTCCGTCCCCCGACCTTTGCCGGTGAAGAAGATTCCGCAGTGCTGGACGAGTGGATCTGGATGCTTGGCAAGATCTTCGAAGTTGTGGTGTGTCCGGAGAATCGCAAAGTGGAGTTGGCTACGTTCTACCTTCGGCAAGAAGCGGACTCGTGGTGGATGCTTGAAGGACCAGCTTGTAGACAAGATCCGGAGTTCAGTTGGGAATACCTGAAGGTTAAGTTACGCGAGCGGTTCAATCGTGCCCAAGTCAAGGAGGCCTACCGTTGTGCAGCCGACCACTACCGAGTTCAGCAAGTTCAAAAATGGATCCGGGAGAACAGTAAGAGGAAGCTTGATGAAAGAATTTCATGTGTGGTTAGGAGTTTGACGGCTACTAGTGTTGGATCAACAAGAAGCTTTCAAAGAGACAACTCTACGAGAGGCAAGGCTCCACAGTCCATCCGGAACAACAAGGTTAAGAGGAAGACTTCAGTGGACTCAAAACGAGCTGGTAGTGTGAGACCCACAGTCGTGAGGTAGATGCAAGTGAGAACCGTTGAAGTAAGCTCTTGTACCTTTTGTTTCACCTCCCTTCGTCTTTGTTCCCTTCTTTGCGTGTTAGTTTCAAGCGTTAGCTTGTTCTTAATCCACCCCTGACCCTCGGTAATCTTTTCTTCCCCTTAGACAAACCCAATCACCCTTTTTGCCAAGTTATTCCTTTTCTTCCGAACCTTGTTCTTGTTTTCTTTCCCATAATCTTGTGCAAGCAGCAGTGACTTCAGCTTATGAAGGAATCTGGCAAGATCTAAGAGTTAAGCTGCGTCCGAGTCGAGGAAGAGAATCCTTAACACTCTTTTAGCCGTCTTTCTATCATCTTCTTGTCAAACCAATTGTCTCTTTCTGAGAAATCTTCCATATCTCTTCGAGCGTCATCCTTGTTTCCTTCATAATTTGATTCTATACAAGATGACAACCTCATTTTCCTAAGTTGTAATCTTGAAAACCTTGATTTTCTTCTTAACCCACGTTATTCTTGAGCCCAAATCTGGTACCCTTCATTTGGAAATCCTTTCAACTCTTTCAAACCTCGTTCTTGTTCATCTCTTGATTTGACTCTGTTCAAGGTTACGATCTCATCTTTCCTAAGTTGTGACTTTGAGAATTTTGATTCCCTTCCTAATTATTGCTATCCTTGAGCTTAAACCAGATACCCTCCGTGGGAAAATTCTTTTCAACTCCTTTAAACCCTGTTTGATTCCTTACTCCCTAATTTGTAACATCGTTTACAATTCTCAGCTTCTTAATCAACATGGTCCTCAAATTGTTGAACCTAAACTCTCACCTTGATCTTTCCCTTTGAATTGAACCTCGTTCTAGTATTTCCCGCTTCTAACGTTGTTGTGCGAGGTGGCAACCTTATTTCCTAAGTTGCAACTTTGATGACTTTGATCCTACTTCTAAGTAATGTGGTCCTTTAGTTTTTGAACCTTAAAACCCCTCACTGTAATCTTTTCCGTTGAACCGAATCTCTTTTTATGAGCCTTCATTTCCCCTAGTTACCCTTCTCCGGTGTTACCGTTCCTGTTTCGGACCTTACCTCCGAACCGAACCTTTGAAGTTTTCAAGCGTTTCCTTGTGAGGAGTAGCGGGTTGTGTGCTAGAGCAAGTGTTAAGTCGGTAGCCTGCATCAAGTTCACCCTAGAGCTGGAGAGATGGACATCCAACTCGTCTTTTAGATCTAGCAGTTGTAGCCTTTTTCGGAAGTGACGGATCAAGTTCAAGCAGATGCCGATCTCAAGTTGTGTAGTGAGAGTACCTTGTTTCCTTTGGTTGAAGAAGCCAGCAGAGATCAGTTGAAGATGCAACCACAGTTCTGTGATCCCGACTGATCTAGTTTAGAGTTCTTTTGGTGTCAGTTTTTGTTTGTGGCTTGTTCATTAGCTGAGCCGTCTCGTTTTGAGTAGATCGTTGGCTAGTTTTGAGCAGGAGTTAGGCTCGGTGTGAAATTAGCTTTCTTTCCCGTTGAATCTTTTACCTACCACCTTATCTTTCTTTCTTGTCTTACCTTTGTGAACCCTCAACCTATCTCTAAGTCTTGTCTCTTGTTTTGTTAACCGACGGTTTTGTGTTGAACTTCGTTGTGTCCTAGCCAATCAATCCTACTATCTTAATTTGAACCTTTGGTTTCTCTAACTTTGGTTAGTTGTCAAGTACCTTTATTGCTTAGACTTCGTTTGCAACTCATCTCTTAAGTTTTGTCACCCATTTCGCAAGCCAACCGTTTTATTGGGTTTGCTCGTTTTCTTTCCCTCGTTTTTTTTGGCTGTTCTATCGTTTTCGCTTATTGGTTGTGCCTAGTTGTTTGACTTTTTTTTTCTTGCCTGTTAAATCATTGATTGGTGTAAGCTCGTTTTCCTTCCCTCGTTTGTTGTTACCGTTGTGTTGTGGCCACCTGTGGTTGTGTTTTGTCGTTTGCTCAGTTGTGCATTTAGCCGTTACCTCTTGTTTGCCGTGGTTGTTAGCCTGTAGTTTGGGTAGTTGGTTTAGGTGCTTCGCTCTTTGAAGACGCAGTTCGTCGCTGTGCACAACCGGGTAGACCAGATCGAAGCCAGCTTGAGTCATAGAGGAGAAGCCGAGGAAGAGTCTAAGGAGTCGGAGAGCGAGTCCTTCCTTGTGCAGCTGTGGCTACCTTGTTCACCTTTTCCTAGTAGTTGTACCCTCCCTAGCTGTTGTTGCCGTTGTTGGTTGCTTGTTGTTGCATTTGTGCTTGTTTTGATTGTAGCCTTGTGGCTTAGTTAGCTTCGTAGTAGTAGCGGGTGTTTTGTGTTGATTGTCTTGTCCTTAGTGTCTGAGTAGAAGTTGATGATGGTGCTAAGACACGAGTTCGTGATGCTCAATCTACTCCTTGTTAAGTTCTTGACAATTCTTGAATTGTTATGCCTCCTTTCTTGTTTGGAATCCTTATAGAATCTTTTGAGTTTTGACCAAAAGGATTCGTTCTTGAACCTCTTGTCACAATGTTGTTTCCTACCACCATTTGTTTCCAATTCGTCGTACCCAAGCTTCAGGGACGAAACTTCTTTGAAGGGGGAGAGGATGTGACACCCCAAAAATCCACATTCAATCCATGGATTAATTGAGTAATTAATCCTATTGCAATTGAGGAATTCATTCCTAAAATCCTGATTTTTAATACTCAAGGACTAGTATTTGAATAGTCAACTTCAAAGTTATGTTGTACCTTGAGCTTTGAGGGGAGTTCCCTTGTTCCTTACACTTTCTAAATGTTAGTAAGGGTATTTTTGACTTTTCACCAAGTGTTAGTATTGTAACCTAACCTAGAAGACATCTTAATTTCATCCTTTACACTTTCTAAAATATTAGCTCTACCTTCTCTCTAGAAAGGTGAGTAGCTTTTCCTCCAAGCTAAGTTGAGACCTTGTCAAGATTCCAACATTTGCTTCCAAGATTCAAGCTTTCACCTATTTGAGCATCTAGGAGGGTAAGATCTAAGTCCATCTTGTGTTTTTGGTTCCATCTTAGATGTCTTTTTCTTAAAGGTAAGATCTTTATGATCTTTTGGTTTGATCGTGAAGTGGGTTTGGAAAGTAAGCCTTGTGGGGAACTTGTTGAAGTGTTAAGTGAGGTCTTTTAGTCTACAAGAGGTAACTCATGCTCTACAAAATCTATTTTCCTTACCTATATGTGATTTCTTGGATTCTACTTGTGCTTTTGCTATGAAATGTGAGTGTTTATGCATTTGTCTTGTGAAAATGCATATCTAGAGCTTGTGTTTAGGGTTCTTGTGTGCCATTGCTTGCCATTTTCCATGATTCAAGTCATTTTGTTGTATTGGGTGAGATTTGGCATGTTTTGGACTTGAATTTGTGTTTGGAGATGAAAATCCGCGATGTGGTGTTTTGTGGTACAGGACATGTCCCCGCGGGCGGGGCACCACCCGTCGCCCTACCCGCGGGTACAAGCCCTGTGGGAATGTGTTCCCGCGGGCGGAACCACGGGTGGCACTACCCGTGGGTCCACCCCCGGGTACATAAGTGGAGTTGTGATGGGATTTGTTCCCCGTGATTCATTTGACTCGGTATTTGGTCTTTTGACTTCCCGTTGTTCTTTTGTGGAACTATTTGAGCGTCTTCTTGATGTTTCGTATGTCTAGAACTATGTGGTAGGTATCCATGTAGGTATTTGGTGTCTTGAATCGTGCTAAGTGTTCAACATTGTGTTTCGTTGAACCGTGAAGTGTCTTGTGTGTTCCTCGGAACTAACTTGAGTTTCTCCGTTGATAGGCATGCTAGTTTGGTATCTAAATGCTAGCGTGTGTGTTGTTTGTACCTTCCGATTGGTTGATGATAACTTGCTTTATTCATCGTTGTTGTTGTTGGGCTGTGACCAATTCCTTGGTTGAGTATGTTTCATACCTTCGTTGTGATCCGTTGATTGATTCTTGTTGAGATGTGATGCGTGTGTGGCTTTACCAGGATTGCACGATTAGTGGTATGGGACACTAGTCACCAAGGTATTGCAGCGGTCCTCGTGGTGGTCGTGACGTGATTATGGAGCTGTGGCCTTTGTGTAAGGTTCATGTGATTCTTGGGAGGCATGTGTTGCCATGTGTGTGTACAGTACCTGTTAGGAATATATTGTAATTGACCAATTTTATTTGTTAAGTCTAGGCGTGTCATAGACCATGAAAGGAAAATTAACAAATATGAAGAAAGGGAAAAATATGAAGAAGAAGATGTATGTGTATGATATGTATACTAAAATAACCCACACGCCCAAATCAAAGAAGAAGTCATACTGATGAATCTCATACGAAGAAACGAGAAGCAAACCAAATTTCATGAAGTTATCTTGAAGTTCAAGCATCTATGGAAAGAAAGAAATACATCAAGAGGAATGCTAGATTTACCAATAATCTGTACAGCTGAGATGGATGAAAGCTTAATGTATAAATCGTAAGGTTTCGGGTTCTAAACTCACTCTTTATAATTTTATAAACAAAGCCTTAAATCGATTCCAATAGATGACGTATGAGATGAAGTTTCAATAGAGGTTTTGAAAATAAGGAAGAGATGAAGATCGATTCCAATAGATGACGTAGGAGATGAAGTTTCAATAGAGGTTTTGAAAATAAGGAAGAGATGAAGTTGGAGCAGAGGTTTCGAAATCAATTAAATAATAGAACTTGGAGACAATGTAAGAGGTTTCAAAAGAGGTTTCGAGACTAAGTTGGAGCAGAGGTTTCAAGATCAGTTTCGAAATCATCAATTAAATAATAAAGATATCATCAATTAAATAATAGAGATTGGAGATGAAGTAAGAGATGCGGTTTGCAAAGTTGGTATGCAGGTTCATTTATCGGCCTTACACGATGAAATGTGGGAAGTCATTTCTAATGGACCGATAGAAATATTGAAAGTCAATACGGCATTTCTTCTATCATCCGATGCTCAACAATATGTACCAAAGCCGAAACTGGAATGGTCATCAGGCGATAGAAAAAGAAATAATCTTGACAACATTGCCAAAGATATTCTATTCAAAACCGTTGATGATACAATATTCCCAAAAATTCGAAAATGCACAACCGCGAAGGAAATTTGGGATACACTCATCAAGATAGGTGAAGGCGATGAACAAGAAAATGACAACAAGCTCACGATAGCCATGAAGAAGTTTGAAGATTTTAAAATGCTATCAAGTGAAAGCATTGTTGATATGGAAGCAAGAATGATTAAAATTCTAGGAGAGATTAATGATCTTGGCAAAGAAATTAGCCAAAAAGAAATTAATCTCAAAATTCTACGAGGCTTACCATCCGCATGGGACATGAAGGTTACAGCCATGCGAGATCACCGAGATCTACGAACATTGTCAACTGACAAATTGTTTAGTGATCTTAAAGCATATGAATTCGAAATGAAGGCCAAAAATGATGAAGATTATGAAGTTCGAAATCCAGCTCTAATGGCCGAACAACTGTCAACCTCCAGGTTAGTAGATAATATTGATTTTATGACTGATGAACAGTTTGCCTTCTTTGTTAAAAAATTCAGGAAATTCATGCGAAAAGGAGACAACAAATATTCATCACGAAGAAATCAAAATTTCTCTCGTGGAAATCAAAATGCCTCATGGAAGCCGAATGAAGAAAAAGATGATGAAATAAACGATCTATGCTACAACTGCCGCAAACCCCGACATTTCAAAATAAATTGTCCGCATCCGATCGTTAGCAAATATCAAGGCAAAAACGTTGAATCTACACCGATTAAATTCGATAATAAAGATCGAAGATTCAAACGTGACAAAAGAAAGGCGCTACTTAGCAATGAGCCGAATGAAGATGATGAATCTGATGAATCATCAAGCGACGAAAGCTCAAGCTCGGATAATGATACGGCGCTAGCATGAAAATCTGATAGGAATATTTTTTTGTAAGTTTTGATGAAGCCAAATGTACTTTAGATCCCCTTAGTTTTTAGGTCTTTGAGTACAAGCATCATAAATCAGAATAGCGAGTCAAAAGGAATCTACCATAGGAAGAACAAAATTAATTTGAGAAATTAATTTTGGTCCTACGAGTATTCATCCGAGAAAGAAGCATAAAGGAATGGCGTTGCAAAGAATAATTGGATGAGATTAACGGCAAAATGGTAGAAGTCCTTATTTAAAACGATCACACCCGAGATCAATTCCCCCCCCCCCCCTTCCCCTAAGGACTTAATTTTTCCAAATCAAGTTTTCGGACAAGCACAATGTCCAAAAGAGCACAATGTGCTAAGGAGCACAATGTTCAAAAG